TAATGAGGATTTCCAAAATAAAAGTCAAACCTATACAAAAGTACCTCTTAAACGAGGACATCTCTATATAGTAGGACATGTAGTGTGGGCCCAATGGTATCCTTAAAGAGGCTACAGTGCAGTATAAAAAAATATCATATAATTTGTATCTATAATAGGTCTATTGTGATATGGAGACTGATGGTGGTGGATGGACTGTATTTCAAAGGAGAATGGATGGTACTGTTGATTTCTACCTCAACTGGGCTGACTATGAAAAAGGATTTGGAGACCTCAATGGAGAGTTCTGGCTGGGACTTGACAAAATAAACCGACTTACTGCAGGACAAAGCAATAGCCTCCGTGTTGACTTGGAAGATTTTGATGGGGTTAAGAAGTATGCTACTTATTCTACTTTTAAAGTAGGGAATGCAGTCACAAAGTACACACTGACTGTGTCTGGATATGGAGGCAATGCTGGTGATAGTCTGAGCCTTCATAATGGAATGAAGTTCACGACTAAGGATCAAGACAATGATGAGTCATCAAACAATTGTGCAAAACTTTATACTGGAGCATGGTGGTATCATATGTGGTGTATAGACTCAAGCCTTAATGGTCCGTATCCAGTTGGCCCTGCCTCCCAGGTATTTAATATTGTATGGAGTCCCTATTATAAACTGCTGGTAACTGAAATGAAACTCAGAAGCAGTTAAACAGTCAGTGTGGAGAACTATAACAGTTCATTATTGCTAGTATAGTTGAGTCCATTTATATTTACTTTTTGCTACAAATATTCAATTGATTTCAAGTCTAGTCAAATACATTATGCGTGTACATGTACATAATCACAATTAACAACACTAGCAGTGTATGGTAGAATTAATAATGAGATTACCATTAGAAAAGGCATTAGGACCAGAATATACCATTAAGAATAATACATGTAGTATGTACATGTATGCAACGAGTATATACCTGGTTCCACCAGTGATATCAGTAATAGTCTACTTTACAAGAGGTATATACTTTTCATCTTATGGCTTCCCAGGAGTATATTCAATGATTTGAAATGTTAATCAGTAACATAATGTATCTCAGGTGTAGGAATAGAAGCAAAGTGAATTGTCCTTCTATTAGTGTTAAGGATTTCAAGGGAGAGCCATGGCCCCCTGCCTGCTACACCAATGCATAAATAAACTATTTATATTCATATTTCATAATTTCATATACGGCATACTATTTACATAAGGTTGCAAACTGCACCACGTGGCAATGTAGATGCAAAATTTCGCAATTTTAATTTTTGTGATAAATGTAAAAATTGCAAAAATATAATCACTACAAAAATGAACCAGTATAGGTACATGTAGTTTTATATGCATGCTTGTCCATAAATTGCAACATAAATGGTTAATTGAATTTCAAAAAGAGATGCTATGCATTGTTGTAGTACAAAGGTGGATTTCCTATTTGGCAGTTTCTTTTTTACAGAATCACAATTAGAGGCCCTTCCAAATTTCTACTACAGTACATCCCACTCTCTCTCTTATGTAGTGACTTATTACAATCATCTCTACACTATATACAACATGTGAAGCAACAATGTCCATGGACACACAAAAACATTTCATGTACCCTGAATATAGTGATGCCTACTGAAAAAATGAAAATGTTTCTTGAATTGTCAATGAAGAGAAGATAGAGGTCTCACATTCTCCAGTTTTGGTTGTTTTTACTATAACTGGCACCCTGGGTCTATTTGTCAGCCAAATATTAGTAGTACATCTGCCAGTAGTAAGAGTGGGTGATATTCAATATTGTCAAACTGCATGGTATGATATCCCATTTAGATATGAAGATATCTTCTCCATCAAAACTGTCATAATAACAATGATCATTCGTAATACACAATAGAGTGTCAGCATACAGTACATGCAGCTTTATCTAGTTTAGTAGTGATACCTTCTATACTACCACTTGTATTAAGAGCTATGATATCTCATTACTATTGATTGCATGCCATCATCTATGGACTACCACTCACAATAATAAGGATATAGTCAGAAATAATTTTCAATAAAGTGCAACTGAAATATCACTTAAATAACTGTATATTGCTCACCCTTGGTAGTAGTGTAAGTATTCACATTTTAACTAGCAGTAAATGAAGCTCAAGCTTTCACAATAATTATGCTGTTTTCTAAATAGATTGCATTATATGGTTGAATTTCAAAAAGAAGTGTTTGTGAAAAATTTCTGTAATGCTATAGTACTAAGGTAGATATTTGGCATCTTCTTTTACAGAATCACAATTAGAGGTCCTTCCAAATTTCTACTACAGTACATCCCACTCTCTCTCTTATGTAGTGACTTATTACAAACATCTCTACACTATATACAACATGTGAAGCAACAATGTCTATGGTCATACAAAAAATAATGTATCCAGAATATAGTGATGCACGTATACTGGATTTGAGCAGTCAGTGAAGAGAAGAGAGGTCTCATGTTCTTTAGTTTTGCTTCATAACTAGCACCCTATAGACCTGTTTGTCAGCCAAATACTATAGTAACACCTGCAGACCTGCCAGTACTAAGTATAATATTAATAATATCTGAAATAAAGCTCCAGCATGTTATAAAAGCAGTAGCTGTACACAAACACTCATCACTGGTAACCTACAGTAAAAGGATTGTTCAGTATTAGTTCTATACAGCAAGTCAAGACAAGATGGATTCCTGTTCTTATTTTAAGCTGATAGGATGCTTCATTCTTATTAGCATTGCTACTGCACAAGAAACACAGGAAGCATGTAAGTCATACAATAATAATAATAATGGACATAACTACTTACTATGTAGCTTGTCACCCTCATAATTGTAAGGAGGTATATGAACGTGGTAATGTGAACAGTGGAGTATATACAGTGAAACCTGATGAACTACCAGCCTTTGAGGTAAATGAAATCATTATAGACTGAGTGGTAGTGCTCTACACAAATAGCACACACACACACACACACACACACCCCTTGCCATGGTTTTGGGTGGTACTGGTTGAATAGCAGCCCTTAGTATCACCTCAAGCTGCTACTCCAACCAGTATAATACCCTCAACATTGGCCTTGCATTGGGTAGTGTGGGCCCAATTGTGTCCTTAATAAAGAGGCTATACACTGTAGCAGCATATAATTTGTATCTATAATAGGTCTATTGTGATATGAGTAATGGAGGTGGATGGACTGTATTTCAAAGGAGAGTGGATGGTAAAATTGACTTCTTCCTCAACTGGGTTGACTATGTAAAAGGATTTGGAGACCTCAATGGAGAGTTCTGGCTGGGACTTAGTAAAATAAACCGACTTACTGCAGCACAAAGCAATAGTCTCCGTGTTGACTTGGAAGATTTTGATGGGAATAAGAAGTATGCTACTTATTCTACTTTTAAAGTAGGGAATGGAGGCACGAGATACAAACTGACTGTGTCTGGATATGGAGGTGATGCTGGAGATAGTCTGAGCTATCATAATGGAATGAAGTTCTCTACTAAAGATTACCAAAATGATGGTACTGCAGGGCCACCAGCAAACTGTGCAGTGAGTTTCGAAGGAGCATGGTGGTATAACAACTGTCTACAATCAAACCTCAATGCTGTCTATTCTATTCGGTCTCCCTCCCCAAGTAGCATCTTTATGATGTGGTATCCTCACTATGACCTGAAGATATCGGAAATGAAATTTAGACCTAGTTAAACAGTTAGTGCCTACTGGAGAGCTAACAGTTCATTATTGCTAGTATAGTTGAGTCTATTTATATTTACTTTTTGCTACAAATATTCAATTGATTTCAAGTCTAGTCAAATACATTATGAGTGTACATGTACATTATCACAATTAACAACACTAGCAGTATATGGTAGAATTAATAAAGAGATTACCGTTAGAAAAGGCATTAGGACCAGAATATACCATATTAAGAATAAATACATGTAGCATGTACATGTATGTAACACGTATACTTGGTCCCACCAGCGATATCAGTAATAGTCTACTCTACAAGTACAAGAGGTTCTTCTTATGGCTTCTCAGGATACAAGCAGTAGTCAATGATTTGAAATGTTAATTAGTAACACCAAGAGAACATGAGACAGTGCCAAACATGCATATCCAATATTACCAATAATAATAATAATAATATAATTTAATTCACTAGAAGACTGTAAAACATTTGAAGTGGCTCCACGTATGCTATTCTTGTGCTGTAATGACCTTCCTTGCTGCTGGAGAAGTTTTTGGAGAGCAGTTTTGTCTTATCTTGCTGAGCGTTTGCTGCAATATTTCATTATGACGACACCCACTTTCAATGAAGATATTGATTGGCTATTTAACTATAATAATAGCTAGACGACCCTATGCCCTTACAGACAAGGCGTTTTCCTGTCTTAGTGGGCTTCACCCAATCATCATGTGATACTGTGTCATGTGACTCACCGTTAATCTTTGATATCAATACTCTATCAATTAGCTGAGGTATCAAGTGAATATCATTATCAGTGATGTCAGGCTCCTCCCCCTCATGGTATCCATATGTTAATAAACACTGTAACCATTTCATTGAGTCTATTGGTATAGCATCAAACTATATAGGAAGAAGAAAGGAAATTATTTTAAAACAAAATAAAATTATAGCATAGCCTCTCTTAATGGACACTCTCTGTAGCATACATCTCCGTTTAACAGATAGCACCTACATGTAGTGTACCAATTACATTCCTTACTGTACTAGAAAGAATGTAAAACATTAAAAGGCTTGCCCTCCAGCCACGCCTCCCAATCACGCCCCAAATGCACATACATGTACTTGTATACATACATACAAAAATGCTTCACATCAGTGGGCTTCGCCTAAAATATCTTCCACATAAAGGACACCTCTGTATAACAGAGACACTTTCTTGTACCAAAGTGTCCATTACATGAGGCTACACTTACATGTACATGTACAGTATGCATATCATTAATTAACATCACATGTAGCTATAATGTAATCAAATAAATTTAACTAAGAACATTTAAATTTTGTACATGTACACATCTTCTCCCTCCCTCTCCCTCCCTCCCTCCCTCTCACCTCCAGTGGGTTCCAGTATATCAGTTCATGTCTCACATAAGGAGTGAATATTTTAGTTAAACAGAGACTGACGTAAGCCTCAGAGTAACTGCTGGACTGGGTGAACTTCCACTGCTCAAATCGTGTCTTGATTATATTCAAATCACAAAAATCATCAACGACATCAGAGAATACGTCATTAATATCAGGACCTAGTGATTCTGAGAGAGAGAGAGAGAGAGAGAGAGGAAGAAGAGAGAAATAGAATGACACATTCATAGAATCTTAATTTGAAGTTGCATGCAAAATGTGAATGAATGTACACATGTATTTATAAAAAAAATTCCATAATTCGCTAATTTCTTTTGTTATCATTATGCATGTAATGTATGGTTAAAAGCTAAAATTTTGATCAATTCACAAAACCAGCAGCAGATATACATGTACATGTACATGTACACAACATACAAAATAACGCTAATGTACCTAGTTCTTTATTAAAACGTATTTTATCAGTTTCCAGTAGTTCATCATCCGAAGACATTCCTTCATAATGATCAGTAGCAACTTCCTGTCTCTCTCTCTTCTCTCTCCTCCTCCTCCTCCTCCCTTCTCTCTCCACAATGCGTCCCTGACGTCCTTCATCATTAGCTACACCCATTCTACACTCCTCAGACTCATCGGTAACATCTTGCCGTCTTCTGGTAATTAGGAGGCGTGACCTTTTAGAATGAATAGATTGAACTTTGACCTCTATAGACTTTATTAATGGAGCCTAAAATAAATGAAATATACATGTACACGTAACTGTACATGTACACAATGTGCACATGTATATGCATCAGAAAATGTAAAAATAAAGAATTCTCACATTTTCATTTTTGGCGAAATTTGGCTTGTGACCCTGTACTATAGTACAGGGACTTTGATCCGATTTTTGAGCAACTTTAAAAATTTATTAAAAAATCCAATTTTGATCGGAATCAGTTCAAACTTTCTACGCAACATAAGTACATGTATATGCATCAGAAAATGTCATAAAAATAAAGAATTCTCACCTTTTTATTTTTGGCGAAATTTGGCTTGTGACCCTGTACTATAGTACAGGGACTTTGGCCAATTTTTGAGCAACTTTAAAAATTCATAAAAAATCCAATTTCAATCGGAATCAGTTCAAACTTTCTACACAACATAAGTACATGTATATACATCAGAAAATGTCATAAAAATAAAGAATTCTCACCTTTTTATTTTTGACAAAATTTGACCCATGACCCTGTACTATATAGTACAGGGACTTTGGCCTGATTTTTGAGCAACTTTAAAAATTCATAAAAAATCCAATTTCGATTGGAATCAGTTCAAACTTTCTACGCAACATAAGTACATGTATATACATCAGAAAATGTCATAGAACATGTATAATATGTACATGTTCTATGTACATTATGCACACTGTATGGTCATGAGAAGCACCTGTTGAAATGAACATTGAATACTGTGCTGTACCTTTATAGCAAGACATGAGAGTAAGTCCCTGAGATATCCTTTCATTTGTTGATAGAATAAATAATGTTCTTCAATCCTCGTAATACTAGTATCAGCTCCTTCAATGAAATCATTGGCATCTTTAACATCAGCCATAACCTGATCCAACTGCCTCCTGTGATTAGCAACATTATCCTATTTATAGTAACAACATAATGACATCATTCTATTTATAGTAACAATAACGATGCATTCTATTTATAGCCTACATGTACCTTCAATTCCTGTAACCGATTGGATAATCTTGATTTCAAACTATCCAGTGTCACGGGAACAAATTTAACCGATACAGTAGGAGGGGGAGGGGGTCTTGTTTGCTGTTGATAATGTTGCTGCTGATAGTCGATACCATAAATGAAAGATTGCGTGAGAGGGTCCAGTGAGTTGATGGTGACTGGTTCATCAGCCGGGAGTGGGTTACTGGCTTTGATTCCTTTATTGATCTGCTCCTCCTCCCATCGCTGGGTCTCCTCATCTTCTGATTCACTGTCAATGTTCTCCAATGCACTCAATACCTGCAGTGTAATGTATGCATGTACATGAATAATGAATAATCAAATATGATTGAGCTACATGTAATAATTATAATTATGTGCAACAACAAGTATAGTAAATCTCTCAGATACATGTACATGTACATGTAAGTACATGTACCACATGCATACATGTATATACTTTTGAATTTGTACAGTACATGTACATGTACATGTACAGAATGTAAAATAGTAACAATCAGAATTAAGATGCTTTTGGCAAAAAATTCCTAACTTTTATTTGTACTTTAATATACAGTACAATATACATGTACATGTATATTTAATGACTATAACTTGAAAATTTGTTGTCGGAATCAGCTCAAACTGTCTACATAGCTTAAGGACATCAATATGTATCAGAAAATGCAATAAAAATTTGGGGTGATTTCAGAGCCATTTTTTTGAAAAAACCATGGGCTATATATAGTACAGGGATTTTTTCAGATTTCAGCCAATTTTTAAAAATGACTATAACTTGAAAATTTGTTGTCGGAATCAGCTCAAATTTTCTACACAGCATAAGGACATCAATATGTATCAGAAAATGCAATAAAAATTTGGGGTGATTTCAGCGCCATTTTTTTGAAGAAAACCATGGACTATAGTACAGGGATTTTTTCAGATTTCGGCCAATTTTTAAAATGGCTATTTATAAATTCATTCATTCATTACTTGTAATTGTCTGGCTGGTTCTTTCTTTTTCCCGAATGTCATGTGACGTGATGTTAGGCCACTTCCTCCCTCCTCTTCCTCCTCCTCTTCGTCACTTTTATCATTCTCATCTTCTCTGATGAGCCTAGACTTGCCAGATGCTGCTTTAGGAGCTCTGTGTAATTAATAATAATAATAATAATAATAATAACTATTATTAATAATAATAATAATAAATAATCACATACATATACATGTACATGTACAACAATAAAATTGTATGATAAGAATACTCCCTCAGTTCATGAGAATAAAACCAGTTATACTAGTTCTACTCCCACTCATTCTAACGAACCTACATACACACCACATGCTTTTTAATGCACAATGTATGTACTGTCAGTCCCAAAGTGATTTTAGTTAAAATGTGTGGCACTGACACATAACTATGTTAATACCGTATTTCCTTAAATAAAACCTGGGCGTCTATTTCCTAAAATGGTATTTGGATCTCAATAAAATATATAAAAAATAAAAAAACTTCAGCCCAGAGCAGGATTCGAACCTGCTTTTGACTTCTAGAACTTTAGGCATTATCCACTAGACTACTGAGTCACTCCTGAGCCAGTATTGCGTATTTATACTTTAATTGTTTTGCTACCCCGGAGTTTATTCAAATGCAGCTTCTATTTAAGGATTTATGGTACATTTATTTATAATAATGTTTGTTAATTAAAATATGAAGCAGGGCTTGTGCCCTTCCAAAAATTTTGTTCCATACAAAAGGTATAAATAATGATGGGATTAGTTACACATCACATACAATCATGTTGAGTCTCCTTTTATACTGCTGATTATTGAAAAGGCACTAGTGGGTCACACAGTGTGATAATTAATACTTTAAACGACATCCTGTTATTGTAGAGACATTTCACTGGTACAGAAACACTGCAGGGGGCCAGCCTGATTCTATTGAATTCAAATTGTCTCAGCTTATACACAGTCAATAATAATACAGTCAGTCCTGCCTATTCCAGACACCTTGGGACCCAATAATACCCTAGCTCCTGATTATGAACCTGTCCTTATTCCTTAATTCACATTTCAGAGTGTCCACAATAGACTGGTTTGGCATTTACATGTACATGTATAGCGTGTACATGTACATGTACTATTGTATAAATAATTACATGGTATTGTAGTATTAAAATTGAATCCTATTTGGTACATGTGTGCATGTGCATGTACATGAGTGTAGACATTATCAAAATTATCACCATCATTATTCATTAAATTAGATATTATACTGTACATCCAATTAATATACATGTACATGTACTATGAAATGTCACTACTGTACAAGATGATTTATTGGTGAGAGTAATATTTGATGATTCTGCCTGTGGAAAGTTAATTGGCGGATTTTATATTGGGGATTTCTTCATAGAACCACCGATCAACAATATTAATTCCTTGCCAATAAATCATCTTGTACAGTAGTGATGGGCGATTCCGAGTCCGGAGTATTCAATCCTTCAATTCCAAATGGAATCGTACTCATATTGAAACAGAAGTGTGAATTGTTTGAAACGATTCCAAATTAAGCCACACCCAACCACACCTTTTAATATTAATAATAGTTAACTAATCAGTAGTTAATACCTCAATTATTCATTATTGCATTTTTATTGCTGTAATTGATACACTTGGCTTTGTGCATTCGTAGATGTAGTACTCGGAATCGGTATTCGATTCCATCGATTCCAGTCTCAAAAGTATTTAGAATCGGAATCAAATGCAAATTTCTGGATTCGCCCATCTCTATTGTACGGTATTTCAAATACTAAATTGAATGATATTACATTATTACATTGTACAAATACACTGTACTCTGTGTATTTAAGGGTGCTGCCTATAGCAACAATTATTTTATGCAGGAATGCTTAAGCCATACAAGTGTCCCA